TACTTTGTACCATCATACTTTTTAAACTCTGAAACTTTAAATTTTGGAGAAATAACAATATCTAAGATTAAACAGAGCCCAGCATCATCTATTAAACCATAGAAACTAGTTTTCTCCACTGCTTGTAACCTTTTCTCAAGCCTATTCATCTTTTGTTAGCCTTTGAGTTTTCCATCGACTCTACTATTTTTAACTTTAACTTCTCTTTTTCTTTCAGATCATCTAGATCAGTGACTTATATTGGTTTTAAGGCTTTTTCCCTAATAACTGGATTAACATAACTTTAGAACTAACCTTGGGCATGGTAGATTGCATTCCTAGGTTAGTGTATGGATAAACCCTAGGGAAATTTATTTGTGCCTTTTGAAAAGGTTGGCTTTGATAAGGATTGAATCCTAGAAGGTACAGAGGATCACTTACATCCTGCATAAAACACCTAGTTGACTTAGAGCTTCTTCCACCCTTTTTCTTTTATTCAGCTTATTTAAGGCTTTCAAAATTTTATCTAACTCCCCTTTAAGCTTTTTTTGGGCTTTTTTAATCTTGTCAAAACGATTGAAGTTTTTTTGTTTTATCTGTCTAACTCGGGCTCTAGTGTTATATTGGTGGTGAATGGGGTTTTTAGATAGTGGAGCTATCCTTGAACTTTAAGTAACATAATTGTTAATTAAAGGGCTTGTTTATGACTTAGTGTGAAAAATAAAAAACTAATCATGAATGCAATGCATGAGAAATGATAGAATCTATTATTCTTAATTTGCAAAGATATTTGACTTGTTCATATTGGTCTTTGGCCTTTTTAATGAAGTTTAACAAATGTTGTCCATACTTTTTTGTTGGGGTGATTACTTCCTTAAGAGTTTCAGCCTTTTCAGCCATATCCCATACCTTGATCATTGCCTTACTTATTTAGGTTATAAGATGCTTTATGTACCTCTGTCATCTTAAGTTTTCCCTTTTGCCACACCAAACTTGATATGATAACTCCCTATACTCCCTTATAAGTACGACTATGTGATTTTTTTGTTCATTCAATCTCTATTTCAAAACTTAAATATATTCTCTGAGTGCTTCATTCTTTTTTTAAGCTTCAACATATTCATCTTTCATATGAAAATATTCTCTCTTCAATATTTCATTTTCACAACCCAAATCAATGAAATTTATCTTTTTGGCTTCAACTTGAAAGCGTAGCCTATTATGTTTTCAATGTGATTCCATCAACTCATTGAGGGCAGTGTCATATTCCTTAACCATCTTTTAGGCCTTTACCCTTTGCTTTTCTATCTCAGCAGTCATCTTCTTGTATTTTTGGTGTAGCTCTGACAAGTCACTAATAGTTATGTCTCATTCTTTGATGATTTTTTTCATCTTGGTCTCTTGCTTTATTGCTTCTTCCTTTATTTTTTTTTTCTTCTTAGAGCCTGTAGATTTTTTACTTCAATTTGTCTCTCTCGGACTCAAACTCTTTTCTTGTAAGTTTCAACTTTGAAAATACCTTTTCCACATACTGTTCCACTAATTGACAAGAATCTATAAATGAACATAACTTTTTACCCTTTTTTGCCTCCATACCATATATCCTGTGGTGACCTTATCAGTGAAAGACCCAAGACTCACCATTTTGGGATTCTTTCAAGCATTAATCATCTTATCCATCATTTGCAACATTTTTGGCTCACTATATAAAAAATTTGATTGAATGAACTTGTGTGTCATAGAAAAAAAATTATTCAACCCTAAACTATCTTTATACCATGAATGGTGCATAACTTGTTGCTCCCTCTAAATCTAAAAATGGGACCCCAATCTCATCTCTAGATTGATACAACATTGGTTCAAAATTCATCTATGGGACCATCTATTTTACCTAGGTGCAAGTAAGACCTTGTAATAAAACCATTCATCCCTCTTGAATTTGGGTTTCGACCATTCACTCTCACATAACTTCTTGATTGAGGCTCTATTGTAGAAGTAAAGCTTCAAGAATGCATTCTTCTTGCACTTAAAATGACTATTCATATACAAATATAACAATGGTACACATTCAACAAAACGTCATTTCCCCTTCTGACGAAAATAATTCAGAGATCAAATTGTTTTTACTAAGATTGCAGGTGAAGGATTGCAACCTTTTTTCACATGCCAAAAGAAGTCAAACACTTCTATCTTAATATAACCTAAGATCCTAGGAAAAACCACTATGCCATATACTGCCAAAGTAAATATATCCAACTCTTGGTCATCATTCGGATGTTTTGTGATGAAATCATGAAAAAATTCCCAGGACAAACAAATATGATTACTCTCTCTTGAACTTGTACATTCACATCTTCTTTTTTAACCCCCATAAGATAGGTTAATTTCTTACGAAATGTTGGTTTCTACCTTTTGACATATATCTTATTTGACAATTAAAGATGCAATCCCATCAATGTAGAGTACTTCTCTATAGTCGGTGTTATGTCCACTTTATTAAAGATAAAGCACCTATATAAAAGATCCCAAAACTGCTTAGTTGTTTTAATGAGAGAGTTTTCAACTATTGTTGAAAGGAAATGCGCAATATAACCATACTTCTCATAGAAAGCTGACTGTTTGGACTCACCCATACTCTTTCATATTTTTGACAACTCTTTCAAATTATTTTGCTTAAGGCTTAGATGAACTTCCTTTGCTAAAGTAGAGATATAGTCTAGTGGTAAGCAGTCTTCCTCCTTTCGTTGGATCTTTTCTAACTCAACCTTTAAATCATTAGGTGACTAACATTTAATAAAGGTGGATAAGGCACAAACCAGATGATCTGTGAATTCCATGAAAGTTTTTGTTAAAAATTAACTTTAGGTAGTTTTTATATGCAAAGAAAAATAAACAAGCAAAAAAACTGGTTAGTTTCAATATCACGGAAACAAATAAACAAATTAATTAGCATATAAGAAGCAAATAAAATAGCATGATTCCTAAACTCTAGGTTAATTCTAAAGGGTAAAGGGAAACATGACTCTATTTATAGGTTAGGTTTCATAAAGTTAACCATATGTGGTTCAAGTTAAATCTAAAAGTTCTTAAATTGTTTCTTATATCATTGTCCATCACAAACTAGTAAGGTATCCCAATCATCGCCCATTATAGGCTACAAATGAAAAATGTTCAATTTGAGTGAAAGTATTTTGTCAGCCCGAGAAGAGACACGAAATCTTAGGAAAGCATAGGAACTTAACTCTCCTTTAAATGACAAAACTCGGGTATAGAGTTCATGTTATGTAGATACAAGTAAATGATAGAATAAGGTACAACTATAAATAGATAAAACAAAAAAATCTTAATTTTAACTTAGGCTTTAGATAACATGAATTTACTGGCCTGACTCTCTTGTCCTCAGTGGAGTAGCTAAACTATCATAATGTATAGATCCAAAAATCTATCGCTATACCTGACTTTAATGAGTCGTTATTAATCTTTTTTTATCTAGGTACAATTGGTCACCTAACTATATCTGTGCCATTTTAAAAAGAAGTCCAAAGCTTGACTTAGATATATTTAAAAAGTAGATTCTTGTCTACAAAATCAAAATTAGATTCGAAAGTATAGTTACATATGAGAAAAGCTATAACACTCTCACATCATCCATCTATAAGATGATACTAATTTGATTTTGTGTTATCCAAAACCTGAAAATTCTTATTAAATAATTAGTTATAAAAAATTATCTTTAAAATTACTCCAAATATTGGTAATAATTCAAGAATATCCCCTCATCTTAAGAGTATTCGAGGAGATTATTTGTCACATTTTAAAAAGACATCGTTGTTAGATTCATTTAATTTTTGTAAAAAAAATTTTATTTGTGATAATTGACATTTTTGTGAGGATCTTGATATTAAAATTTTTTTTAAAATTCTTCAATATGTTGATAAGTTTAGAAAAAATTTCTCATTTAGGAATTTATATAAAGATTGCTATTTATAATACTCTTAATGATTCCATCATCGGAGATTCAAAATCTAACTTGTAAAAAAACTCTTTATTTTCATAAATATCCTCTAATATATTAGTAAGATTTTTTGCTATAAATTATCATCCAATATGTTGGTAAGATTTTATGAAAATTATTTTTTTCTAAAAATTAATTTTTATTTAAAAATCATAAGGCTTTTCAACATATTGGTAGAATTTTATCTTAAAAATCAAATTACCTTTCAATATGCTGGTAAGACTTTATTAAAAATTATTTTTTTCTCTTGAAATTTGTTTTTATGAAAAATTAATAAGGTTATGCAATATGTTGATAAAACTTTATTTTAAAAATCAAATTATTTTTAATATGTTGGTAAAGCTTTTTGTTTTATTAAAATAATTTATTAAAAATTTGATTCTTTCTAATATATTGGTAAGATTCTTTTTATTTAAACATTTATTTTAAAAAATTTTGAATTGGTAAGGTTTTTTTTATTTTATTTAAAAAATATTTTTCCTTTTTTTCTTTTGTTTTAAATTATTTAAAAACAAATACATAAATAGTCAAATAAATAAATAAATAATAAAAATTATGATAAATACAAAGATAACTAAAACTTAAAAAAGAGATAAGTAAAAAGTAAATACCAAATATTAAGCTACAAACAAATATCAATCTCTTTTTACTTTTCTTGCTTCTTCACCTTTTTATCTTTTTTATTGTTTCTCTACAAAATAACTTATGACTTTGCTAGTGACTCTCATTAATGGTAATTGCTTTTCAATTTTGTTTAAACAAAAATCAAACAGATGCTTAAAATTATATATCCTAAACCCTCAAAAATTTTACTACCAAACTTTTTTGTTGAAGGCCTCCCTCTTGATTTTTCTTTTTATTGATTCTTGATTCTTTCTCACAAGGTCTTTTTACAGGCACTAATAGGAAAAGGTTTTCCTCCTAATCAAATTCATCTTTAAATTTTTAATTTAACAAAAAACCAAATCCTGTAAAATCAACCCCAAACAAAATGGTATACCTATAACAATCATATGCAAGGACTATTGATCTGAAAAAGCAAGGAAATCACTTGTTTGCTTACAAATGATACGAAATTATGCAAGTTTTTACATAGTCTAACATGAATAACAATCATGAAAAGAAAGACGAAGTCAAGGATTTCCCGAATAAATTAAAAGCCAAACTCTTTTCAACATTCCGAGAACGTAAAAGCAGAAGACAGAACCTTAGGAAGAGATTTCACGAAAATGTACTGTCACTCGGAGACACTTTTCACAATGTATGCATGAAAGATAATTGATGAAGTGATAGTTTGATAAAGCCAAGAATGAGTTGCCGTCTTCTTTGCTGCCCCCTGCTCACCGGACAACTGAAGCACAGTGCAGTATTCCATTGGACATGCTGCCGCCACTGCTTTGCATGTGCCCGCCCACACGAGAGGAGTTGTCTGGGAATCTGTGTTCTCGCTGCTGGATATTGCCATCACTGTTGGAGACACTTGTCATATCAGAACAGCTTATACTTGAACCAGTATATTCTGCCGCGGGTGGGCAACGCCTCTCAAGTTCTGACCTACTATTCTTTTGGCCTAAGCAGCTGGCATAAGAGATGCATTGGGAACTTGTGTTAAAAGTTGGATCAGGCTGTTGGATCTTCTTTTTGCTAAGAAAACGTCCACCGCTTCCCCTAACCCTATTCAGTGCATGAAGATGTCGAGATTCATGAAGGTATGGCTGCATTTAATTCAAACCAAAGCCGATCAGTGGAGTTAGGCTGTTATACTGGGAATTCAAACAAGTGCCCAAACGAATTCAATATTTACCTTTCGAGATTTGACAAGTTTGTTTTGCGCCTTAAGCTTTGCACGATACTGCCTCCTTCTGAGAATCCCATGATATTGTTTTGCATTGACATAAATGAAACCATCTTCTGCAAGATCAAAAGGCAACGGGATTCGTGTAGCTCCACTTCCTGCCATTTGCGCCTGAATCTGATCAAATTTAATTAAATCACAGTTACATCGATCATAAGAAGAAAAATAGTCACAAGAAAGATTATAAAGTAAACAAGGTGAAACCTAGAATAATAGGAATGTTGGTAGAAGAAAAGAATTAGCGCTTATCGAAGCCTATCAGACCCACAGCTAAGAAATATCAATATTCCCACTAATAACTAACGCATAACAAAGCATATCATCTATTAGTAAAGTGTTAGACTTTTAGTTTCAATCAGGATTCAAATTCTGGTAGTTTCAAATAAATAAAAAATGCAGATCAATGGCAAGCTACAATAATTCACTGATAAGAAGATCATACAATAGCCTCTTGCCCATATGTAGTAAATGGCCCACCAAAGTAAGCATCAGCGCAAGGATATGGAGCACTGGCCTGGATGAGAAATATTGATTTAAAGCAAAGCCAACAAAATAACTTAATAATGACTGCTAAACATACCATTGAATGGTTATAATTAGAATGAGAAGGGCTGAACACAGTGTCTGGATTGTTAAGCAAGAAAACTTGCTTCCTTTGACCCTCAGTGTCCTTCCTACAACCCTCATCCTGACCTGATGCATGAGAAAACAATATGATATCAGACAAACATTGTTAAACTGTTAAGCTTGACAACGAGCTTCCCTCTTCAGTAAACTGTCTAAGAATCCCTTTCAGCCCATTCAAAAACTGAAGCAAAGCACATTAATGCATCAACAATGATGAGAGAAATTTATAGAACGCCATCACAAGATTTGTGCAGCAACAGAACACAAGCAGTAATCTGACATCTAACAAAAGAATAAAGAATCAACAACAAGAATCCTATTTGCTATACTTGCAATGAGACTTGGCAATTAAAATATGATACGATGATACAATACAAAAAATTACAAAGATTATTAAGGTTAAAATTTTAACAAAAATTATATATAAATTTAATAGAAATAAAAAATATATATTTAATATTTTTAGTATAAACATGAATTATAATACATAAATTTTGTATAAAACACGATATAAATACACAAATTATCAATATTTTATATGATACGTTTAAAAAATTGTCATGTCTACTTGCAAGAACCAACCATAAGAACTCGGTCATCGCTAAAAAGACAAATTCTTCCAAAAGTTCATATCTTCTTCAGCTACTGATCATTAGCAACATCAATCAAAGTCAATGTGAAGCACATGTACGGCGAGTAGAGATATTTGTTATGTAATAGAGTGGTTTATAGTCCCCAAAGCATTTGATAAAATTCAATAGTTGACGGTAGCTACCAAGCAAGAACAGTGGGGAAAAGAGAAGGAAAATAATATAGAACAGAAAATTCCCAATATATCACACTAGCTTCCAGAAGCATCAATACCAGATTCAGATGAATTGCAATGAGAATTGGTCACTCCTATGACACGCACTTCATGATGAGATTGACCAAATATTGCTTGAGCTGACGCCGAACCCTGGACTGGCAGTTGAAGATATAAATGCTTTGCATTATGATACAGTTGGGAGGGGCTTTCGACTTTCAAGCTTATATTCTGGGGTAATGACTGTGCAATATTTTGCTGCTCGTTTGAATTCCACCATGGTGGGCCACTAATAGATAAACGGGATAGGGAATGAAGAGAACTTGCATCAAAATTTTTCTTTGTCATGTTTTGAACCCGAATAGCCATCTAATTCATCAATTGTCTTGAATTTTGATGCCAAAACTCAGTAGATCCTTATCAACAAACAGATTGTTTTTGTCTCATTCCAAGATTAACTACTAAAAGGGGAAAAACATAGAATGAGCTGTGGATGTCTAAGTTATACTCAAAATATGAATGTCATCAACACTATTTGCAATCATGAAACAAAACCGCGGCATTGCGCAACAATCAATGGAGATGGAACACTACAAACACAAGCTCGGCACATATGTCCAAGTAAATGTCAAAAGAAGAAGAACTAGCAAGGCTAAAATTTGCTAGTATAAAGAAAACTCATGAAGCAGTAACAACCCAACCATAAAAGGAACACTAGGGACAAAACTGTTCAGAAAGATTATGGCCCCCATTATTGCATAAAACTCTAAGTAAATCACAAGAACCAAAATCACAAGCTAGATTTTCAATGTAATAGTTGACAACTTATTAACATTTGAGTAAAGCACACAGACAAGAAGAACAAAAAGATGGCTGATGGGGTGTTCCTTTGCTTCAGTCATGTAATTTTCCAAACCATCAAAATTTTGAGGGAAAAAAAAAGCAGATGAACATATACATCAACGCAGTTAGTGGTTCAAATATAGTGATAAGAGCAACCAAGTGCACCAAGCCATTTAGGGAGTGTAATTTGAAGATGAATTCACTTGGCAATCATGAAGAAGTTAATAGTTTTGATGCTTATTTCAATCAAGAACTCATTCAGCTGTAGACATTATATACATAAAAACTCACAAGGCATTACAAGAAATTAAGCATTAATGAATGTGACCAAAAGTAGAATTCAAAAGAAAAGCATGATTTACAAATTCTTAAACAGAAAAGAAGAAGAAACAAAAGAACATAATAGGTTTTTAGAAATCACATTTCATAATAGATATATCATATTCAGAAGAATCAGAACCCAGATTCAGTAACATGTTCTAGATCTATTAAGCAACTGAAACTTATTTAGATATCATCGTCGTTACATGTCAATTTTCAACTAGAAAATGAAGCAGTTTGTGCAGTTATCAGGCATGCTCAGAAGGTCAACCCTGTAATATTAATAGCAGTTTTGCTCTGGATGCAACAAGTTGTGAAAAACCAGATAATATGCAAAAAGTTTCGCCACTGCGCCTCAAAAGATTCCAAATACACCAAATAAATTATGGTTTTCCCTGAATAAAATAGCAAAGCAATTACAAATTCGAATGAGTTAGAGGAAAACCATAGGTTCTAAAGACACTAAACTACAAGAAAAATAGACTTTTAGCTATGGAACTAAGAGGACTGGTCAAAAAGAAAACTTAAGGGGCTTCAAAATAGCATGCAGCATAAATCAATACGAGTACCATAAAAGCTTTGAGAGCTTGAGAGGGAAAACAAACCAATCAACAAGATAAAGAGGAAACTTTGATCAGAAAGGAAAAAAATAGTGTTTCAATATCAGTAACTCTAATGAACAAAAAAATCCTTGCAAATTAAGAATCCAAGTACCAAATCTTAGCCGAATAAAATCCAAGCTCATCCAGAAATTCTGTTGTGCTGAAGAAGAAGAACAAGAAGAAGAAGAGCTGACCAAGAATTATCCCTTTCTAAGAGCAAGAGACAACAGGGCAGGGAGGATATAAAATCTATTCTGTACGGACAACAATCACTGTACGGACAAGGTAATGCTTATAGGCATGGTCCATGAACCAGTCCCACAGCCGCTAAAAAAACCTTACATATAAAGTGAAAAACACGATGCACCCAAAAAGCCAAAAAAAGGAAAAATATAATCAACCGTCGGAACCACTTTACCAAGAACAACTTTCCCAACTTCTACAAAGAACAAAAATAACTTCATCATCATCATCATCACCAGCATGCATTCGAGGAAAAAAAAATAGTAAGAAAACAAAACCCCACTTATAAGGCAAATAATAAATGTATCAGGTGATATATTAAAAAAAGAAAAGAAAGTAAAAGGAAAGAATCAAGAAAAGAAAGAGAGGAAATGAGGCAAAAAAAAAAAAAAATACTACTAGTAGTAGTAGGTTTAAGTAAAGAAACGATAAGCTTGAAACAAATAAACAAAAGAAATTGAAAGAAAGACCTATGGCATCCGATGAGCTAGGCATGAAGCAGAAGTAAAGAATTGTTCTGTTGGACGAACTTAGGCATGTTTCCTCTCTTGAAAGCTCTCCAACCACCCTCTTCTCTCTCTTTAAATTTTGTTATCACTGAAATTGAGAGTAATACTCCAATCCTTTTTTTTTTCTTTAATTACTTTCTAGTAATACAAAAAAAAGCTTTAGTATAATAATTCCACCCACCTCCATTAAAATCCATTCATGGCACAAACAGCTTTCTTCTCTACCTTTGATTACAATTTTTTTTTTGAGTCAATGATTGTTTCCAATTTTTTTGTGGGAACAACACTCCTTCCCTTGAGTCCTTTTATGCCGTTATTTTATCACAGCCAGCCGCCCTCCATGGCTTCGCTGCACATATTTAGGGCAAAACTTACCTAAAATTTTTTAAGTGTATTTTTTAGAATTTAGCATTAAAGTTTTTGTCATTGTTTAAATGACCAAGTCAGCTTTAGCTCCATCAAACGTTTACTTTGTTTTTAATATTTTATTTCTTTTCTGCGTTATTTAAAGCATAGTAAAAAAAACTTAATAACAAGTCCCTAAAATCCCTACTTCTTATTAAAATCTGCAATTTCATCCTGCATATACATAACCCAAAAATAATGTGAAATTTCAAACTTCCGATTTCACTTCACCGTCAACGTAATTATATATAAAAAATTAACAAGAAATGCATAACTAGCAATCCCCAATGGGCAATTGATGCACTAACATGCATCAAAACAAAAGAAAATATTTGCTTCAATATCTTATCTTTTTATCCGGATCAAATGGAGTAGACACAGAAATCAACATTTTTTTTTTTTTAATTTTTGGTATAAGATACTACTTACTTTTCATTAGAAGATCCTTATAGTAGCCTGATGTAAAAATTAAAGTATTACAAATTCTTGTCAAATCTAAAACAAAGCATATAGATCTATCAAATATTGGATAAGTCCAACACAAAGTACACATAAATCATAGGATCATACCAGATATTGAAATTCAAGAGGTGACACTCACTGTGAAATGTCACGGTTCTAGAGAGGAATCATGAACCCCATAACGGTTGTGTACTAAAATTGGTATTGAGATATAAAGGTTCATACTACCTTTAACTTATGATGCACCTTTTAAGAGACAAAACTATAACTCCAAGGGGCTAAAGCAAATAATACTTCACAAATTGGTATAAACTGTGACAATTAGGCTGATCTGAGATGCTAGATAAGTACATACTCTAATCCTAGAGTTACGCGAGCCTGGAGCTTGAATCTCGACCCATGATAAATGATATCAAAGCCAGCTTTACGGGTACTAACGATGTGCCACCTAAAATGATGGGTCTTCGTTGAAGTGGGAGAGGATGTCACGGTCTTAAAAAGAAGCCATGAATTCCATATCGACTATGTGCTAGAGTTTATCTTAGAATATAAGGGTTCATACCACCTTCCATTTGTGAGGCCCGAGTGGTATCAGAGTCAATTCTGCAAGTACTAGCGATGTGCCACCAAAAATGGTGGGTATTGGGTCTTTGTCAGCTCTGTGGGTACTAGCGATGTGCCATCGATAATGGTAGACCTTCATTCAACTTGTGAGGCCCGAATGGTATCAAAACCAATTCTGCAAGTACTAGCAATATGCTATCACATCGACTGTGTACTAGAGTTGATTTTAAGATATAAGAGTTCACACCACCTTTAACTTGTGAGGCTTGTGACAAGTGATATCAAAGTCAGTTTTATAGGTACTAGGAATGTACTGGCTTTATAGGTACTAGCGATGTACCACCAAAGATAGTGGGCATTAGATCTTTGTTGGAGGACCTTCATTGTAATGGGAGAGGCTGTGTGATAAAGTTGGTCTTGGGATATAAGGGTTCGCATGGATAAAACTGTGAAGCCAAAAGGGCCAAAACAAATAATACATCACAAATTGATGCGAATTATGATCATTAGACCCAACGTGTAACACTTAACTCTCGTCCGATTAAAATGATAGGCCTTGTGTACCTCACAAATTGATGTGAATTATGACCATTAGATCCACCGTGTAGCACTTAACTCCTGTTTAATTAAGACGGTGGGCCTTAGGCCTCCATTGAAGGTCGTGTGCTAGAGTTGGTCTTATAATATAAAGGTTCAGAAGGATAAAATTGGGGAGCCGAGAGGGTTGAAGCATACAATACTTCACAAGTTGATATGAATTATGACCATTAGACCTATCATGTAGCACTTAACTTCCTTCTGATTAGTAATCACTTTGATATCATTTTGTAGAGATCCGCACTCAACCTACAAGATATTATTCACTTTAACTCAAAAATCTCATAATTTTATCCAACCTTACAAAATTGGGAATAAACCTCTATTTAAAAATTATAACAAATCCTTAAAACCTCCCGATGTAGGATTGAGGTGTTACAATATAAGAGAGATATTAAAACATTAAAAAAAAAAGCTCGATATTAAGAGTTTTTACAAGATATCAACCAAAAATTGAAGGATTACACTTTTGATAGGCTTGATTTTGATGAAACTTAATATTGACCAAAAGTTACTTTATATGTACATAACAAAATGGAGGGAAACTAATTATGCTTAAAGCATGGAGAAAAACATGGTGGAGGAAATCATGAAATCATTTGTCTCCATTATACATAGTTAAAATGAGAAAAAAAAAGTAAGAATTTTTCCAAAAAAAAAAAAAAACTTATTTGAACAAAAGGGAAAATAATTTTAAAAAAAATGAATCCACACCATATTTTAGCTATTTATGCTTTTAATTCTCATGTTTTCTTATTAAATAGATATATCATAACAAAAAAAAAAAATAACATGCTTAAAACCAAATATTATATTAGTTGGATCTTATTTTCGTCAAATTTTGTTAAAAAACACTATGCATAATCGAAAACATGAGTAGATATTAAACAAGAAATAAATCTGAAATTTAAGTTAAATGATTTATTAATTTTTTATTATAAGAGATAATTTTCATAAGATGAAACTTCGATTTTCAACATTTACAATTTTTTATTTTTTTTTGTTTCTCTAAGCTTTGATTTTTTTTGTAAAAAATTGAGCATATATTTTCTTACTAATATAGATCGGCTGGCGAAATTTATTTAACATAAAATCTAATGCTTATCCAGTGGTTAGATATTCGTTTTGTTGTATTTATTTCTAATTAGTATGCTATTCTTTCCTTGTGCTAGGTCTAATAGTCAATAAGGATGACCCTTTGCTTAGTTTAGGTAGCAAGTTGGTTTAGAGGTAATGTTCAGAATTTGATCCGAAATTAGTAAAGCAGTAAAACCCACCACCACTAGTTTCTTGATAACGACTAAAAGGGAATTTGGGTGTAACTTCAATCAAAATAATCCAAAAAATGATTACTTCACTCATCAAACCAAGCTTTATTTTGACGCACTAAGGACACTCCAAAATATCCAAAAAAAAAAAAAAAACATACATAAAAGTTAAAAATTTTCTATGTCACCATTATATTCATTCATATATTCAAAGTTAAATTATATGATATGTTAATAAAATATTAAATTTTTAATTTTAATAATTAAGATTTAATTTATGATAGCTTTAAATATAAAAATACAAAACAAAATTAAGAAAAATATGGTATACGGATACTATATAATAAGGGTAGCTATCAAATGTCAATACAAATAAATATATTTTTTAAAAAATCCTTCACATGACTATTCTTCATGTTGTGTGGTAGGTTGTTTGAAAGATTCAAAGTGAATAGAGATGAAAAAGATGCAGAGAGGAAAAGAAAAATAATAAAAAGGAAATAACTTGGCATTTTCGGGCATGAAATTTCCAAATATGCAATCAATGTAAGCCAAAAAAATCCACGCAGACAGACCTACAAGTGAGAATTTAACCAAATTAAAATTTGTAACTAAGATTTTATATTCCAAAAAATACAAAATTAAATTTGTCCAAATTATTGTTCATGAATAAAATTTTCTAAAAAAAAAATCAATCTCATAATTTCAACCATATTGTTCAATGTTAATAACAAA